TTAATCACACAAATCTCAACTATTGATCATCTTGGATAGCAATCAAGCTAGAAAATACGATAATAGTGTTCAACTCCAATCCCTTTGGGTACAATATTATACTATACTATATTTGATTAGTGAGCATATTTTGAAGTGGTGTTTTGTGCTCGTCAAATTTGGGCATCGTTGCCGGGGATTGGCAATCAATAGTGTTTGAAATAGTTTGTAGTGCTAATTTAGGAACTTTTCTTTTTATTTTTTTATTTTTCTCTTTTTACGTTTGGTGTTTTTTGACTGTGCGCAAGTTACAGGTAAGAGTGGTGCATGACTCGAGCTTCTTGGAAAGAAGTGCTACTATACGAACCTGAGATAGAAAAACAACTGCGACAATTGAGGAAAAAAAGAAATCTCACAGAGACTTTAGAAAAGATTGGGCAATCCTCAAGCAAAGGAACTATGGTTGGAGACGGTGATGAGATTGTAGATTTGGCTGCAAGAGAGACAGCCCAACAATGAGAAAAAGCTGCACGAGATGCTGAGGAAGCAGCTATTAGAGATACATAGATTATCTATGAAGAGGAGAGGGCTCGGAGAATTGCTCAAAATCAACCCTTGGCTGTAAATCAGCTTGGAAATATAGCTCCCGGGCCTGGGAGATCACCAGGAGATTATGCTAGACCGGTCTACAACCAAAGATTATCAAGTGTGAGACTACCTCCAATCGCAACAAACAATTTCGAGTTGAAGCAAGGGTTACATCAAACCCTTCAGAACTACTATGTCTTCAAAGGAAAAACGAACAAAGATCCAAATATACATCTAATGGACTTCGAGGAGATTATGAACACCTTTTAATACAATGGTGTGTCACAAGATGCAGTATACTTAAGGGTATTCCCCTTCACACTCAAAGATGATGCAAAATAGTGGCTTCGAAGTTGCCCACGGGATCAATTAGAACATGGGATGAGATGACTAGAAAATTTCTTGATAAATATTTCTCATCAGCTAAGACGAGCAAGTTTAGAAGAGAAATCCATAACTTCTACCAGAAAGAGACTGAAACTGTGTTTGAAGCATGGGAGAGGTTTAAGGAGATAGTCAGAAAGTGTCAATATAGTAGAATTGAACTCTGGATGAAACTCCAATATTTTTGGGATGGACTGACACCAGACTCACGTAGAACATTGAGCAATGCAGCTGGAGGTCCGTTGATGAAGAAGACTCTAGAGGAGACCTTGCATGGTTGAGATATGTAGAATCGAAGAAGGAACTTAGAGTTAGAAACGAGAAGAATATAGAATAAGAAGAAGAAGAGAGAGAAAGAGAAAAGAATTTGGATATACCAGGTATGTGTTGCCTCATCGTTGCTTTTTGTTACCTATATAACAGAATGACTGAGTTGGCATAAGCTGAGTTGGCAAAATCTCCACAATCGAACGCTCATTAATCATCTTACAATCTGGATCGTTCATTTTCACCTGCCAATTCTTTTGCTTCTTTCTTCACAACCCCACATCGACTCTTAACAACTACAATTGTGTTATAAATAGAATTGTATTTAAGGTGAATGTCTATATTTTAGAGAGATTTTAGGGATTATTACTTGGTGATTAAGTCACTATTTTCCTATAAATAAAGAGGTTTTATTCAATTGTAAATTATCCCAAAATCAATAAGAATTCTCTCTTCCTACTATTCTCTGCAATACTCTTTTCATCTTTTATTGTTCATAACATGTTATCAGCACGAGACTCTAAACAATTGAGTAGAAGCTTTGGGATTGAGCATAATGATTGTCAATTGCTCCATGAACTTCCATCATGATTAAATTCTGGATTTAAGGTAAGTGTTTTACTTTATTTTTCTCTTTTAAATTCTTGAAATTCTATATTTTTATTTTAAATACAAGCAAAGACAATAAACTTTGATTATAACTTTCATAGAGTTTGCAAGAAATTATAACCAACCAAAGTGGTAAAATTTCTATGCCTTACCATGATCAAATTCATGTATGATTATGGGCAAAGAAGTGAAACACCATCCCATTGAATTTGCTTCATTCTCATTCCCTTAAGAGAATATGATAGTAGCATGTGATAAGTCTGAAAGAAGACAAAATTATTACCGTGAAGGTATCAATGTATGTGGACATGGTAATAGACGAAATTATAATCGTCATCATTGTGTAATGAGAATAATAAGGATTCTCAAAATAATCCTTCACCCTATGAAAGTAATATTTGTTATCGATTTGACATGAGATTTTGTAAAGCACATATAGATGATTATGGTCCATTCATGATGTGAATGTGATAATATCTGATTTATGAAGACATATTCATTCTTGAAAGAATATGAACATGCTAGTGGTAGTGAATATGCCACACTCACCTCTAGAAAGAGGTTTTAGATAAAAAAAAATATCATTATGATGGTATGAATGGTCATTGGTTAAGTACCTATTGTACGCCAAAATATTTTGGATATGTAATTATTAAAGGACAATAGTAATGCAAAAAACAGATCTTGCATATAATTTTGACCATGACCATTATGGTATATCTTTCTCCTTGAAAGAGATATATACCATATGGATGTTGATGAATATGTAGTAGTACAAAATTAATTGAAAGCTCTAGAAGAGCCACTTATGTATGATGTGCAAAAACAAAAGAGAATTCACATGGGTAAATATTAAAGAACTAGAAAGTTCTTTATGAATTCTCTTATGTTGTTTGTTCTCATTAATTAATAGACCAACTAAAATTGGGATTGAATCCCATGAATACTGGAAATATCAAAGGTGAATATGAGCCCATTCACCTGCCATGTATACCACATAAGATGCATATATGAGATGGTTACATGTACGATTATTATTAATCTGCAACCTTTTATTTGCGAGGTAACTTGCTCAATAATTTAACTTTGAACATAATTTTCATATTTTCTATTCAAGACAGTTCATCTTGATAAGTTGGTTTACATCACAACTGGTTTAGCAAAATGATTTATTGAGTGCCTCCATTTAATAGTTAAACTATTGCTTATGAGAAAAAAGTTATCTATATCAGTTTGATATAGGTTATATATAAAAGTATATTACATTCTCCCCTTACAAGTGGTTCACGATCAGGAAACAAATAATTCCTTCATTATTGATATGTGGTGTATATTTTGATTAACACCATAACGCACAAAAGTGGGTTTTCAAAGTTGAGGAAGTAAGTTAGTTTTTCTAACATGAAGGGAGACAAGATAAACAATTGAGAAAAAGTTACGTGGAATGAATTATAATTTGTACATATAGATCCTCAAATAAGATAATATGAACTTGCAGTTCATAAAAAGATAATTGATCTACAATATCTTGTAAAGCATGCCAGACGCATTTGCTGACCCAAAGAAAGTAACGATATCTCACTGCAAATGCTCCTATTAGAATAAGTCCTAGAAAGACACAGTCTATGGTATACTTAAAGCATATAGACAAATCGGTTTCAAAAAAAATTCTTGATAAAGAAGATGAGAAAATGATCAAAATGATCGTAATAAGGAGGCAAGTGATCTAGAAGATCACATGACATAATAATTCATAAAATCTCAGGAGAGGTTTAGGTACCTGAAAATATGAATAAAGAAGTCTCTATGTCATGTCTTTATGAAAAAAGGTGGTTGAAACTGATATAAAATATTCGCGGATTACATATATGATAACGTTAAAATATATATGAAGATCTTAAGTCTGAAGAAACAATTCCAATAGAATTGGTTTCATATGAAAGACATATAGTTTTGGACCTGCAGTTCAAACACTTGAAATTATAAAGTCAATAGTGTGTGCAATCGTCTTTATCTATCTTATATCTCTAGCATGACATGAAAACTTGATGTAAATCTAAAGTCATCATATGGCTTATATGACTTAAATTATATGACAATCCCTGAAGGATTTAAATTACTTAAAGCATATAGAATTCTTGGCCATGAAGTACTACATCCTAAGTGCAATTTGTGCATATTTGTATCTTGCTATAACTATAGGCATGATAATATGATAGCGAGAATTTTTACCTCTATGGAGATATTGAAAAGCCATTTCACGACATTATATGAAGACATTATATATCTATCAGGAATGATGATTTCAAGGTGCAATATATTCATTCAAGTTAATATGGCTGATTTGTTTGTCAAATCTGTACCAACGATTTTTTGAAGATGGTGCACAAGATTGGAATGCGAAGGCTCAAAGATATGAATTGATGCTCTCATCAGGAAGAGTTAATATGTGTTGTACTCTTTTTTCCTTACAAGGTTTTGTCCCATTGGCTTTTCCTTGCAAGGTTTTTAACGAGGCAACCAAAAGACGTATTTCTAAACATGTGTACTCTTTTTCCTTCTCTAGAATTTTATCCCACTGGATTTTATTTTAGTTAAGGTTTTAACGAGACATATTATCTATTGAATAAACATTCAAGGGGGAGTGTTATAAATAGAATTGTATTTAAGATTAATGTCTATATTTTAGAGAGATTTTGGTGATTATTACTTGGTGGCTAAGTCACTATAGAGGGGTTCTATTCCATAATAAATCATCCGAAAATCAATAAGAATTCTCTCTCTCAGCTATTCTCTGCAATACTCTTTTAATCTTTTATTGTTCATAACAAATTATTTTATTAGCCTTATTATTCATAACATGTAGTAGAGGAGTTGATATCACTGAAGCTATTTTAGTCCAATTTTTTTTCCTAGTAAATTCTGCACAGATTTCTTAAACGGGGAACAAAACTTAAAACAGTATCGGGTACAAAACTCGGCCCGACCATAGATAATAGTCGGAGTTTTTAGCTAAAATTATCCCTTATCTTTGAGGGTAAGTATGATTTTGTCCTCTAAATATTCCACTGAGCATCTTTAATCCCTTAAGTTTGCTAAAGTGGAGTAGTTTGGTCCTTCTAACAAACTCTAGCTAAAAGCCTAAAACTAATGGTGACCCGTTAAAACTCACGTGTCACCGTAAAAAAAAAAACCAACAATTAAAAAAGGTAAACCCATTCCCGAACCCTCAAAGCTCAAATACCGCAATCGCCATTGAAAAGCTTTGATTACGAAAAAAGGCAAGAAGAAAGGCATTAGGTGAAGCTTTGATTTTCTTTGTTTATCTACTTTAGAGTTGGATTTGATTTTATAGTGCGTAGAAACTTTTCTCCCTTGTGAATCATTACTTACGTTCGGTTTTATAAAAATTTCTAACATCCATCCATCTGTTAATTTTTTTTTTTCAATTTCTTCCACTAGTTTGATAAAATTTCCCGTTAAATTTATGAAACAGTTGTATCAACTATCGAAAAAATTAGAATTCCTTTTTGTTCTCTAGTCTGCTAAAAATTGAAAGGGAAATTAATTGCAAGTGATATCATGAGGCCCTTCATTGTTTTTTATAAGTTAGCCGCATATTTGTAGATTTCAACGCTTTATGCAGATAAGGAGTGGCATCTACTGTCACTTTATATATCGAGTGAGATGAGTGTTTTTCAAACTCTAGTTATCATGTTGAAAATCTAGTTTAGAATTTGTGAAAACTGTTGAGTTCTTCTAGCTTAAGTCTTTCACTTGTTTGCCATTTCTTTTGCTTAGTCTGCATGTTTACACTTAATAAGGTCTTGCAAATTCTGACATTGGAAAGATTATGACGTTTTTACTTACACTCTGTTTGGATCATTGTTCCCCATCATTTTATAATGTATTGTATTGTATCGTATCATCTTATGAATATAATGATCGGATAGATTGTATTATTTGTTACTGTTAAATAATATTTTGTTGTTTGGTTTAACTGTATCGTACTGTATTGTAACCGATAAGTTTACTGAAATACCCTCAATTGTTTAAATATTAAATTTATAAAAAATTATGCATAAAAATAATTTTAAAAAATAAAACAGAAGAAGGCAAAATGCCTTAAGAAAGTAGAACAAAGGAGCGAGACAGAGGAAGGCAAAACAAAGGAGCACAACTAATTAGAATTGAGTGAAAAGCAAATTAGGAGAAAGAATAAAACAGAAGGCGGTAAAATACTTTTAGCGTTGACGGCAGAAGTTTTGGAAAAAAACAAAGTAGGTTACCAATTAGAGATTTGGAGTTAAAATAGCAAAAAAAAATAAAAATTAAAGGGTAAAATAAAATTGTGGAGTAATGAGTTAAGGCATAATTAGAAGAAAAATAGGAAACAATCCCACCACACCAAATCGGTTGTTTCAAAAAAGAGGACTTTTTATTGTTCCGGAACAATGACTTTAACAATACAATACAACCAATTTTAACTAAACTATCAAAACAAATATTATTTTGGGATTAAAATATAATACGATACAATGTGGAACAACCGTCCAAACAAGATGTTAGCTTGCATGCCTCAAGTTTCAAACATGAAGGTTGAAATGGAGAAACTATGGGACAGACAAAAGGAGGAGGATCAAGTTGATAATCACCGTTAGTTTTTAGTCAGGTTCTGTTAGAAGGATTAAAGCCGTTCTACTTTAGCAAACTTTAAGGGATTAAAGATGCTAAAATGTATACTTTAAGGACAAGGTTAGACTACCCACAAAGAAAGAGGATAATTTTGACTAAAAACTCGTCTTTCTCCCTTTTCTATCTTTCTTTCTCGCAACTTCAAAGAAAAATTCTATTGCTTCCTTACGATATTGGGGTTCCAACACCTCTACAAGTTCTACAAATTCTCTGTAGCATAATATTTTTGATATTCAACTCTGTCATGTAAAGGTGAGACAATTCAATCAAAGTGATTCATCTGATTCTTGAACTCTTCATTTGAATTCGATGACCCTTCTCTCTCTTTGGTGTTCTATAACAAATAACGAAATACAATTTGTGTTCTTGATTCTTGTTTGTCTGTCTGTTTTTGAGATAGATATCTCGAATATACTTTGTATTTATCAAATTTTTGGTCTATATGTTGGTTTGTTGCTGCAATTTACTACTCCCATAGTCCCATATGAAATATTGTTTTTTGTTTTCTTGTTACTACTTAAGAATGCGCATTATATCTAGATTGATAATATATTCGACTGAGATTACCGTATCACCAGATGAGCTGGAGGAACAGTTTCCGTTGTTTAGCCAAGCGATACAAGTGCAGATCATCAGAAAGTTTCACGATAAATGAGCTTTGGGATGGGATTTTTGTTGCTACAAAGGATTCTTTTTTCCAGTCACAATCACAAAGAGGATACCTATCATCTTCGCTTAGTCCAACTGGAAATCCTTCTGAAGCATTTAATTATGAAAGAAATGTCCCAGGGAGGGCTAAACTGCCTGGATTTGTTACTGGCCTTGCCCAAGGGACTGGACCAGGTGCAATTGTTTTATCTCGCCAATATGGGCAGAGGTCGGGAGATGGTCCTGATTTAAGCAGGGAATTTTTTGTGCAGCTTTGGCTTGCCGATGAAAAGAAACAAAGATCTGGAGGACTACAAAAAAGAAAATTGAGAAATACCGTAGACCAGAGAAGAACAGGTTTTGGAAGTCAAACATCTTCCCAAGTTCCATTTGGAAAATGGTTCTCAGGTGCGTCCATTCCAGAAGAGACATCTTACAATGAAGTCAAGCCAGTTCTCAAGCAACCACCTACTAGCCAATCTGTGACAGGTATTTTGGAGCCAACATCACTTGAGGAGGTAGAGTTGTCAAACCCTTCAACCATTCATAGCAAAGAAATGGAGAATTTTATGTTCGACATATATGAGTCCAATATGAAATTGAATTTCCAAGTTAGTACTTTGATTGGTCTCCTAGCTGCGAAATGGCCAATCTTTTATGTCTTTGTTGCTTCTTTAAATTTGAATGTGTATGCAGTTTAGTGTTTGCTCTAGGAACTGATTAGGTTGTTTACTTCCTAATTCATGGCTCTAATGAATAATGTGTCTAATACCACTCATGCACTATGAGAAGTGTTTATACCCCAATGGCTTTTGTTCACTTTATGGGAAATCTTTGGCTCTACTTAGTGCTCTACTCACCTTGTTGTTTTAAGAGTGACAGAACCTCTAAATCCTCATATTTGCAGCTCATGGATTTTATCTTAGAGATATTTTTTCCGTGCTTAAGGAACTATATATCTATTTGCTTGGTTCTTGCTCAAGTTCTTCATCTCAAATACCGGCATTCCTGGCTCCTAAGTGAGCAGTAGAGGCTTTGCTGAGCCGAAGTCACACTTCCATCAACTGCCTTGGGAACATTTTAAGCTGCTTTGGCTAGGATGTATACACGACTCACTTTATATTTTCTTTTACAGACACTGCTAGAATGTCTCTTTTGTAGTTTATGAGCTCTTTATTTCAGGTGGAAAATTTTCATTGTAATTTGTTACTTTTCCTAATCAAACATGTACATATGTAGCTATTGTTATCAATCTGAAATTTTATGATTTCTGCCTTAGTAATCTGTTTATAGTTTATAAAAAATCATCGAGTTTCCAATATCTTAATATCTTTCTTTTTTCAGGCCAAGGTTGCACCTCTTCTTGCAAGATCTAACTTGCTAATTACAAGAGATATAGAGTGGGCTAATCTTATGCTTGGTTTTGAGCAAGTAAGTTTGTGGTGTTTGCTAATTTATTCTTATTAATATTCTTATTATTATTACTATTGCAATTATTATTGTAATAATAATAAAGTGTTATTATTATTGTTGTTGTTGCTGCCTTTTGGGGCGGCTGGTGGTAGTTATGGCGAGGTGCATGGTGGCTTTGGCTTTGGGGATAGGAACGGAGGAGGTACTTCACTGTTAGACTTCGCTAAGGCTTTCGAGCTGGTGATTGCGAACTCGACTTTTCTGAAGAGGGAGGAGCATTTGGTCACTTTCCGGAGTTCGGCGGTGAAGACTCAGATCGATTACCTTCTCTTTAGAAGGTGTGATAGAGGGTTGTGCAAGGATTGCAAGGTTATCCCGGGAGAGACCCTCGCGACTCAGCATAGGCTCTTAGTGATGGACATCGGCATTATGATGAAGAGGAAGAAGAGGTATGCTCGTGGCCGACCGAGGATTAGATGGGGAGCTTTAACCAAGGATAAAGCCCGGGAGTTGGATGGGAGGTTATCCGCTATGGGAGCTTGGAGGAGTAGTGGAGACGCGAGCACTATGTGGTCGACGACGGCGTACTATGTGAGGGAGGCGGCGAGAGAGGTGCTAGGTGTATTGAAGGGTTTTTCTGGCAGGCACCAAGGAGACTGGTGGTGGAATGACATAGTCCAAGGTAAAGTGAAGGCGAAGAAGGTAGCGTACGCGAAGTTAGCAGGGAGCACAAGCGAGGAGGAGAGGAGTGCGAATAGAGAGAGGTACAAAGTGGCTAGGAAGGAGGCAAAGCTGGCGGTCACGGAGGCTAAGAATGCAGCGTTTAGTCGTCTATACGAGGAATTAAGGGAGAAAGGCAGGGAAAAGAAGTTGTTTCGGCTGGCTAAAGCGAGGGAGAGGAAGGCCCGGGATCTGGACCAAGTAAGG